GTGTCCTCACCATCTATGAGAGAATAAAAATACAAAAGCTCAAACTCCGAAATTAATAAATCCGTATGATAGGAATGAAAGAAATATAATTTTCCTAATAGTTCCGTAGCCTCTCGAAGATAAGTATAGACGTCTTTGCACCGATCCACAAGACTCTACTAAACTTGCTCATGACTTGTAGAACCTATGAACCTAGAGCTTTGATACTAACTTGTCATGATCCAAAGTCCCACCTTAAGGATAGTGATGGCACCTAATCTCTAAAAGTAGGTAAGCCGATCACTACCAACAGCTAAACCAATTAAACATGATATTATGAAATAGAGTTTAATATAAAAGTAAAAAGTAAAGGTGATACAAGCCAACATGGCAATAATCACAATAAATCCCCAAGACTAGGTAGTACAGAGTCATGAAATCTACTGCATACATAGAAATAATTCAAAATACAATACTGTTTGGATATAGAATTAACAGTATAAAAGTAAGGAGAGGACTCCAAGGGACTATGACGATAAAAAAACTCTACCTTAAATCCTCATGATTAAGAAGCTAACTCTGCCTGAGTCTGCTTCTTCCAACACATCGATCTGCACAATAATATACAGAAGTATAGTATGAGTACACCACAGTCAGTACTCAGTTAGTATTAAGACTAACCTCGATGGAGTAGTGACGAGGTTCAAATCAAGACACTCACTAATCAAATAATCTGTGCAGAATATCAATATAAAGTTAACAACGGAAAGCAAAATAAATAAATGGCAACAAAGAGTAATCATGTTATAAAACAACAAAAATAATCAAAGCACAGATAAAATACAAGTGAAAGCAATTAAGGGAAACAACGACAGTCCTGATCATCAAACCGTTCCGACACAAGATTTACACTAAGAATCACTACGAGATACCATACCTCATAAGCACAAATCACAGTCATGAATAACAAATCATATACACATGGCACCTAGTGCCCACATTATCAATCTTCTTCGCACGACAAGACCTCATGCCATAATATAAGTCTCACTCGCGCAGCAATAACCTCGTGCCTCAACAAATACCTCAACTGAATGGCAAGGACCTTGTGCTACCACGTATATCGTATCCGTATCAATTACCAATAACATGTTCAAGAAGAATTCTATCAAGAAGCAAATAATGTAAAGCATGATAACAATTTCTTTTTTTAAGTCCGTTATGTTACCAACAACTCAACAAATCACGTAAGATGCATGACACATACAAGAAGTTATAAGCATAAGCAAGAATATCCCTTTTTCATCAACACACCCCCCAACCCATCACATATCATCCCCACATAGTCACCATAGACAATATATATTAACAGTAACTCATATCGCTCTGCCATGACAATAATACAATAGCCACCCGTATCACTCCGCCCAGACTGTAACACAATAGCCACCTGTATCACTCCGTCCAGACGGTGTATCAATAGCCACCTATATCGCTCCACACAATCAACAATAGTAAAATGTCACCCTTATATTCCGGACAACAACAATCAATCCACACAATATGTCCGCACACATGCCACAATATTACAACAATAGTACATAAGCTCACAACTTATCAACAAAGTGCATAAGGACATGTCAATAATATAGAAGTGCGGAGAGGTGTTCAAGATAAAAGAATGAAAGCTAACTCAAATTTGCAAGAATCTCACAAACACCTAACTTGGCCAATTAAGAGCCCGTTTGGATATAAGAATTTTTTTTTTTTTTTTCAAAAAACAATTTTAAAACAATGTTTGGTTATGTAAATTTTACATTTTTTCAAATCCAACTTGAAAATGCATTTTTCGAATTTCAAAAGCTATTGAGAACCAGTTTTTCTATTGAAAAATTGGAAAGTTGGTATTTTTAAGTTTTACAAATTTATCCTATATTTTTAAAATTTATAAAAGGACCCCAATTAGTTATTAAACCTAGGTAACACCTACGACTATCCACCATCTGATTCAGTGGTCTTGGACTATATTTTGATGTCCACTGTTGAGATCTACAATTTATACTTTTACCTGAATGAGCCTCTACAACTTCTATTAGAGATTGTTCGTACAGTTAAATAATCAACATGTTTGATTGTTTGTTTCAAGTAGGATAATCAAGTCGGGGTAGTTTTGATATATTTTACAAATTGTGGGGTATAAATTATGTTTCATGGTTTTGAAAAAAGTACATCCAAATATATTGCAAAAATTATAACCAAACACAACTTCATCTTCAAATCAAATTTTAGTGAAATTTCAAATTTGAAAAAACAAATCTTGGAATTTATATCCAAACGTCTACTAAGGAACTAAAATCCTAAAATGTGATCTCTATCATGGAATATAAACTCAAGTAAACGACCACAGTGAAATAACATAAAACAAAGACTTCTCAATCAAGTCAAAGCGATAAAAGTAACCTTGGGTCAAACGAACACATACACTCGTATACACACTTGTCACCGTATCTACATGTCGTTCACATAGTACAAATAATGCAGTTAGACCAAATCATACGGGAAAGTTCCCCCACATAAAGTTAGGCAAGATACTTACCTCAAATAAGCTAAATCAATCCACTAAAAAGCCCTTCCCGCATGAATCAACTTCAGGACGGCTTGAATCTACCCAAAATAACTTAATATCATAAAACAAAGTCATAGGAAATGATTTCGGATAATAAACCTTCGATCTTGAACAAGAATAAAAAATTCAACCCAAAAACGTGAACCCCAGGCTTGCACCCCGGAACCCGAAAAAACTCATAAAATTTCGAGCATCTATTTAATTACGAGTCTAACCATACCAATACCATCCAATTCCGACCTCAAAATCGGCCTTCAAATCATCAATTTATATTTTAGAAAAGTTTTTACAAAAAATTCCAATTTCTTCAATTCAATTCATCAATCAAACACTAAAATCGAGGTTGGAATCATGAAATATAAACAAATCCGAGGCAAAAATACTTATCCAATCCAAATCATGAAAATCCACTCTAAATTCGCCCAAAATCGAGTTCTCTAACTCGAAATATGATAAAATAATCAAAACCCTCGAAATAGAGTACTTAAACATTCTGCCGAGGCAAACCCTTCGCGATCGCGAAGAACAAATTCTTCAACTGCTTCACATCTTCTTTGCGAATGAGACACTCTAGTCTCGAATCCGATGCCCAAACTTACATCTTCTACGCGAACGCGTCCCAGTCCATGCGATCGCGAAGAACAAACAAAAGCCACCCCCATCCAATCCTTCTTTCTTCGCGAATACGACTCCCTGCTCGCGATCGCGATAGACAGTTTCCCTAAAGCTACGCGAACACGTTTTCGCAAACGTGACACCTTCATCGCGATCGCGGCGAAGAAACACCAGACACAAGAAACAACAATTCAAAACATAAGAAAATTGCCCGAAACTCATCCGAAACACACCCGAGGCCCCCGGGACCCGTCCAATCATACCAACTAATCCCGTAACATAACATGGACCTACTTGAGGCCTTAAATCATATCAAACAATATCAAAACTACGCATCGCACCTAAATTCAAGCCTAATGAACTAATAAACTTCCAACTTCTAAAACTTATGCCGAACCATATGAAATCTACTCGGAATGACATCAAATTTTTCATGCAAGTCACAAATGGCACAACGAACCTATACCAACTCCCAGAACTACAATTTGGACCCGATATCAAAAAAGTCAACCCTCGGTCAAACCTATCAACCTTCCAAACCTTCAACTATCCAACATAAAGCTTCTAAAATGAGAATCATTCTTCCAAATCAATCACGAACTACTCGAAAACCGAAATCAATAATACACGCAAGTCATAATACATCATATGAAGCTACTCGCGGCTTCGAACCACTGAACGGAAATGCAAATGATCAAAACGACCAGTTGAATCGTTACACGTGTTATTATCCTATACTATAACGTTTCGAAGAGAATATAAGTCATAATTTTCAATAATTTAAAGCTCTAGAAAAGATTTGTCAAAATTGTGAAGGGAAAAAACGGTAGACTATTCATAAATAGATAATGACAAATAAAACGGAGTAGGAAAATAGAATAATAAAGTGATTAGATAATGGTAGTGGTAAATAAAATAATCTCCGATTATGTTTTCTATTTAAAAAATAAAGAAACCATCGCTGTATGATTTTTAAACTAAACCATGGGCTCAGCCTACCAGCTTAGGGGTGGGCGTCGGTCGGTTATTATGAAAGTACGGTTCGGTTTATCGGTTTTCGGTTTTGTAATATTAATAACCAAATCAAACCAAAGTATTTACGATTCGGTGCGGTTTTTTCAAGGTTCGGTTCGGTTATTTCCAGTTTAGTTTTTCAGTTATTAACGGTTTAAAATTTTTATATCCGATGTAGACTACGGATCTTTAATTGTAGTAAATTCTTTCACTGTTTCTAGTTGGCAGTGACACTCTCAAAACACCAATTATACCACTAGATTTTAAGCCTTGGCAATGCATGAAAAAGAACAGAAAAAAGATTTCAGAAAAGACTGCAAAATCTCAAACAGTAGAGCATTCTGCAAATGCACCTTCCTATTTCAAAGAACCAAAGACTAACATCTAATTTGAGCATTTGGGCTTAGTAAGACTAATAGGCTAATAGGCTAAGGTACATATGGGCTTGGCTAACTTGGGCTTCAGATGGGTATGGGTAGCGTAAGTCTGTAGGCCAGAAATTTTGGGTATGAGTCCAGAATTTCGGTTTTTCGATTTAACCGAAAATCGAAATACCAAAACCGTAAACCGCACCGAAAAATCGAAATTTAATACTTTTAAAACCGCACACCGACCGAATAACCGTTTAAACCGAAACCGAAAAATTAAAATTCACGATTCGGCCGGTATTATGCCCACCCCTATACCAGCTCCATCAAATGCATTATAAAGCCTTTTTATAAAGAGCCTCGTAAAGCCTGAAACTTTTTAACTCCATTTCAACAAATCCCACTTTGGCAATTCTTGAAAAAGAGAACAACTAAGTGAGTAATCATAAATCATGATAGGCAAAAGACCAACGCCGGTGATCGGAAACCTCACCGGCTCATCGGTTTCCGGCAGCCGGACGGGGACTATGGATGGTACCAGCAGCCCAAGAAGTCCTCTAGATTTCAAGATTCAATCACCAAGAGGCCTAAAAGGCTATGATTTTGGTGGTGTGGGATTAGCTATTGTAGCTGCTCTTGATGGTAAAATTAAGTCCAACAGAGCTGTTTACAACAGAAAATCAAATAGGTCCATATCAATTCCAGTTAATTCAGCCAAAAATTCTGCTAGATTTAGAGCAGAATATGATGAAACAGAGTTGGACAATTTTGAAGAAGATTACACAGTAGTTACTTGCCGTTAACCAGATAACAAGTCATGTACTAAAGTATATTGCAATGGAACTGAACAAGAAAACAGGAGGTTACAGGGTACAAAATTTAATCGTTCAAGTGTTTTCGACATATCTCCAGCTAAATTTGGAGATTTTCCGAGATACCCAGATTCTGATTTTCTCAGTTCATGTCATTTGTGCAATAAAAAACTCCATGGCAAAGACATATACATGTACAGGTATAACTTAAGTTTCAACCTTTTCTTCTTCTTCTCTCTTATATTCTTTAAAACAATTTTTGGCTGAGTTATGTGATTTGAGCTAATCCCCCATTATTTCGTCTAGAAATATGTAAAATATGAAAAAGAGATTAAAATGCATACATATAATAAGATCAGCTTCATTTTGAATTCAGCGAGTCTAAATTGAATAATCCAATTAGTTTGGTTCACTATCTTTTGTTAATTAAGAAGACTTGTGCTGATGATGTTTTCATGTCAATGAATTGCAGGGGAGAGAAAGCATTCTGTAGCACAGAGTGTCGGTACAGTCAGATAGTAATGGATGAACACAAGGAGAAGTGTAGCTCAGAAATTTCAAGATCTGTTGATATTGCAACCTCACCTTATGCTAATGACCAAATATTTTCTACTGGAATTCTGGCCATCTAGACTATATAAATCAATAATCATACAGGATACATATACAACTCGGAAATACATACGAGAAACAGCTCCTCTTACAGGAAGTACCTCTTCTTCTTTTTTTTTATAATTTTTTTTATTGTCCAATTTTACTTGGATGTAGAAGACAAGGATCGATGCTTCCAAGGATTTCTTTTTGCAAATGACTTCCTGTTATCCTTCCTTGATCTTTCATAAGTTTACGAGCTGTAAACCTACATATGAAGAAGATTGGTGTTCAAGCATAAAATGAAATATAATAATTTCCTATACCTACATCAAAAGAAAAAAAAAAACATTAAAGAAGTTTGATCTATATTATAAACTTATGATCTGTTTAATGGTTTGAATGCGTGAACATGCTCCAAAAAATTATATAAGTTGTTGATCAAAACAACCGATGAGATTCTGGTGTAATTTGCTTGTTCTGGGTAATGAAAATTTTCTTCATAGAGATGCTGCAACTGATATGATCCTCGATAGTTCGGGCAAAACGGAGAATATTGAGAAGGACTCCAAATTATCTAGTGGATCGTTGACCCGCTCCAAGTCCATGAACGTCCAAGGGATACGGGCTAGGAGCTGCATGATCTTCAACAAGGAGCTAGAAGATGTTTGGAGAATCACTTTGAGGGGTCATGTAAAGAATACCATGTTTGGAGTCTTGAGAATTGAAAAACCAATGACCCCAAGTCAAACCGTGTGACACGGTTTCACCAACTATTGGCTACGGTTCAAGAGGGGCCTAAAGAGCTGTCACGACCCGAAATCTTACCTTAGACGTCGTGATGGTACCTAATTTCTAACACTAGGTAAGCCGGTTACTTACAATAGTTGAGCCAGTTAAATATGATATTTTTAAAACAAAGTTTAATATAAATACTGATATGAAGGTGAAACAGGCTCACGCGGCAATAATCACAACAGTCCTCCCAATACTAGGTAGTACAGAGTCACGAATTATAGATGAATACGTAGGAATATCTCAAAAAAACTAAATACAATATTGTTCGGATAATGAATTTAACAGTACAATCAAAATGAAAAGGACTCAAAGGACTGCAGCGACCAAACAACTCTAACTTGAATCCTCGCTATTAAGAATCTAACTCTGCCTGAGTCTGTTATCTTCAATACCTGGATCTGCACAAAAATGTGCAGAAGTGTAGTATGAATATACCACGGTCGGTACCATATAAGTATCAAGACTGACCTCGGTGGAGTAGTGACGAGGTACAAGTCAAGACACCTACTAGTCATAATAACATGTACAGTATATAAGTATAAAGCTAATAATAAAAGCAAGTATCACCAAATGGCAACAAGGAATAAGCATGTGATAAAAACAGTAAAGTAATTAGAACACCATTAGAGTACGAGTGAAACCAAATAAGGTCTGCTGATATTGCAAGCTCGCCTTATGCTAATGGCCAAATATTTTCTACTGGAATTCTGGCCATCTAGACTAAATAGAGCAATAGTCATACAGGATATTAGTACATAACTACATATATAACTCGGAAATACATATGAGAAACAGCTCCTCTTACAGGAAGTACCTCTTTTTTTTTCTTTTTTTTTTCTTTTTATTTTATTGTCCAATTTTACTTGGATGTAGAAGACAAGGATCAATGCTTCCACGAATTTCTTTTTGCAAGTGACTTCCGGTTATTCTTCACTGATCTTTCAATAAGTTTTCGAGCTGAATACCTACATATGAAGAATATTGGTGTTCAAGCATAAAATGAATAATAATCATATCCTATACCTACATTAAAAAAAACAACATTAAAGATGTTTGATCTATATTATAAACTTATGATCAGTTTAATGATTTGAATGCGTGAATACGCTCCAAAATATTATATAAGATGTTGATCAAAACAACCAATGAGATTCTACTGTAATTTGCCTGTTCTGAGTATTGAAAATTTTCTTCATAAAGATGCTGCAACCGAGTAGCATTACCGGTAAGCAATTTCTCAGAACTTTATTCTTTGAATGTAGCTTTAGGAAAGACCGTAACAACCGGATAGGTCGTCTTGGGTTCTAGCTCCCCATTTCTTGATTTGAGGACTTTCATAGTGCTATTTCATGATTTATAACTTGCGTGCGTGGTCCGTTTTGATTTTAGGAAAGTTTAAATGTAATTTTTCAAAGAAAACTTGATTTTTGAACTTGAATTTTAGAGTTGGCCATGGTCAACATTGTTGGCAAACGATCTTGGATCGGTATTTTAACGATTTCGGTAGGTCTGTATAATAATTTTGGATTTGTGCGCATGTTTGGTTGGAGTTCCGGGTGATCCGAGACGATTTTGGCGCTTATTGTAAAAAGTTAAAATTTGAACTTATGAACTTTGAAATCTTTGAGTTTTGACGCTTGATTCTTGATTGTAGATGTTATTTTGATGATTTGAGTTTATGAGCGAGTTCATATGATATTATTGTACTTGTGTGGATGTTTGGATTGGGAAACGAGATGTTCGGGCGAGTTTCAGATTGGTTCCAGTTTGATTCCGAAGACTTGAGTTTGTTGGTGCTGCAAACATCGCAATTGCAATGATCTGTTCGCAAATGCGAGCCTCGCGAGTGCTATCTTGTATTTGCGATGCTGGGAGGGAGTTGGGGCAGCTTTGCAAATGCGAAGCTTAGGTTGCTTTTGCGAGGGGTCGAACCTTCGCATTTGTGACTTCCGCAATTGCGATGACTCTGTTGCAATTGCGAGATCTGAGGCTTAACGGCTGGTTGCATTTGCGATCAGCTATTCGCTTTTACGAATACTGCTGTTGTGAACAATAGTTCGTAACTGCAATATCAGCAGCTGGGTAAAAGGCAAGGATTTAGGGATTGGCTTATTTTATTTAATCTTTGAGACCTAGACCACATATAGAGGCAATTTCGGAGATCAGTTTCTTTCCAACTTTATACGTTAGTAACTTTAACTTGTTATTGTTCAAATTCCATTATTTTTTATTGATTTTCATGCCTATATCTATGTTTTCATAAAATATAAATAGGGTTTTTGGGTAGAAATTTAGAATTCCGTATTTTAAAGATTCAGACCTAGATTTGAGGTCGGGTCTCGAAACAAATCACATATTTGGACTCGGGGGAGAATGGGTAAACATGATTTGGTCCTAATTTTGGATTTTGACTATGCGGGTCTAGGTTGACTATTTGTTGACTTTTGCAAATATGTTAAAGATCGAACCTTTTTTATATTAGGGTAGTTTCTAAAGCTTGTTTTAACTTATTTGAACATTAATTGGCTAGATTTGAGTAGTTTGGAGGCTTGTGGTAAAGAAAAGGCCGTATTAGAGAGTTGATTTCTGCCGAAAAGAGGTAAGTATCTTGGTTAACCTTGATTTGAGGGAATTAGGATGTAACTGCGCCTAATTGCTATGTGTTATACGTGTTGGGGGCGGCGTATATGCAAGGTGACAGGTGTATATGCATTTGCTATAGGTTGAGCAAGTGGGTAGAACTAGTTATTTACATTTTGTTGCTTTATGTATTATGTTTTTCATGCTTCATCTAGATTGTAAGATTCATTGACTATTTCCATTCGTATTAATAGCCATGTTAAGCTAGTTGTGACATTGGTTAGTAATACTATTGAATTGTTGATTTGGCTATTGGTGCAAAGTGATGATTATTCCCTATGTGGCAAGCTTTGTTTAATCACTCTTCTCGATATTGTTAGTGCTTCCCGCCTTGCTTGGTATTGCTTTACATGTTTATGCTTGGTGAGGAAGAGAGAGTTACACGAAGGGTATTTCTGTGTTTTCTTTATATATACATATATATCATTGCATGAAGGGTGTTACCGTGCTCGAAAGAAAAAGTGAATATGCACGAAGAGTGTTTTCTTGCTTGCTATTATGTTATACTTGTGAAGTTGAGAGTAAAAGCACGAAGGGTGGTGCTATTCCATTTGTTGATATCTCTTGTTTCTTATTTTTCTATATAGGTCGGGATTTGGCTATGTTGTTTCGTGGTTATTTTTGAAAGGCTTTTTTCGAGTTGCTTGTGGAAGCATAAACTATGGTTTATTTTAGTCATTTCTTTCTTTATTTTTTCTCGTTCTATATCTTCTTGCTTTTATACTTGTTATCTCTCTCTCCTGATATTTATGGTGTCATCTTACTTGTTATTTTACTTGGTATCATGTTGTTATATCTCTCATTATTCTCATTACTTAAAAGCATATGCTTATCTGTAGGTGTCTTGTATTAGCCTCGTCACTACCTCGTCGTAGTTAGGCTCGACACTTGCAGAGTACATAGGGTCGGTTGTACTCATACTGTACCTCCTTCACTCAGGTAGTGAAGATTGTAAGGAGGATTGCCGGCATTAAAGGCCAGGCGAGAGAGACGACATGTAATAAGAGGCCTCGTCATTTTGGATATTTTAGTGGTGCCTCGTATAGAGGCAGGGGTCCCTTTGGTAAAGTCCATTTTATCAGGCCGGTACAGTCAACACTCCTTGTCATACATGGTACATCAGGGAGCCATATTGCTTTTGGGCCTCGTTCCAAGCAGCCAGCATTCAGTGCACCTCCAGCTCCCATTAGTACACATCCGATGCAAAGTTACCATGGTAGTTATTTAGGTCATCAGGAACAACTCTAGGTTCAGCAACCACATCAGCAGAGAGGTTGCTCTGTGTGTGGGGATTTGAGGCATGTCGTGAGGTTTTGCACTAGGTCTCAACACAATATTCCAAAGTAGGATACTCGTGTCATGATCCCGACACCAGTTGCTACACCACCCACTCAGCTAGCTAGGGGAGGGGTTAGCCAGCTAGGGGTGGAGGCCAACCAGCGAGAGGTGGAGGTCATCCAGCTAGAGGTTGTCCTATAGGTGGATGACAGACTTGTGGGGTTCAGCCCCGCTGTTATGTATTTCCGGTAGGCCTAAAGAAGAGTCATCTGATGCAGTCATTACATGTATTATCTCTGTCTTTCATAGAGATGCTTCGGTGTTGTTTGATCCGGGTTTTAAATATTCTTATGTGTTTTCATATTTCGCATCACACTTGAGTAATCCTTGTGATTCTCTTGATGGTCTTGTTTCTGTGCCCACAACGGTTGGAGATTTTATTGTAGTAGATCCAGTGTATCGGTCTTGTGTCGCTACTATTAATGGTTTTCATACTAGAGTTGATCTCTTATTGTTTGATATGGTGGATTTTAAGGTTATTTTTGGTATGGATGGGTTGTCCCCATATCACGTCATCTTGGATTGTCATGCCAAGACCATGACTTTAGCCATGCCGGGGTTGCCTAGATTTGAGTGGAGAGGAACCCTCAGTCATTCTACTAGCAGAGTGATCTCAATCTTGAAGGCTCAGCTATAGTAGAGAAGGGGTTATTAGCATATTTTGCTTGAATTTGGAATTCCAACACTGATATTCCTTCTATGGATTCAGTGCTGATGGTGAGGGAGTCTCCAAAGGTATTTTTTGCAGACTTGTCGGGCATGCCACCCGATAGGGATATTGACTTTTGCATTATTTCGGTTTCGGGCATGCAGCTTATTTCTATCCCACCGTACCATATGACTCCAGCCGAGTTGAAGGAACTAAAGGAGCAATTACATGATTTTCTT